GAGAGAGAGAGAGAGTGTGTGTGAGAACATCTAGCAAGGAAATGCAATCCATTCTTTTACAGTGCAACAACATTCACGTCACCGGGAACACTTACGTAATGGCAGATCTGTTGCCTGACTCTCCTGCTGGTTAACCGTATGTGCCTACTAATAATACAACAAGTAAATACACGTGAGTGTAAACCGTTTCAGTTCAGCTCCTGAGGCAATCATCAGGATCCATCCGCTTCTTGTTGACAGGGAGACATTTTCTCTATTTTATTCTTTCTCGAACTACACTCCCCGCACTACAAACGCATACATTTCCACAAATACTATTTATTACCACAATCACATTTGTTTAGCTATGTGACTGCACTTACAATCAACACAGCTCATCTCCAATGTCTATGTTTAACACCACAAACTCTTAAACCTCATATTATTGTTTCCACTATCATTTATGTGTTGTAGGAGTGTTTGTTTTGTCCTAAAAACTGAAGTAAACTCACGCTAAATGTCATTAGTTCCTTTTAAAGTTGTAGTAAACACATTACAGCCAGTTTAATCATTTACTATTATTAAATAATGCTTTTAATACTCATGTCAGTAGTTGGGACCTGGAGGCCTAGTGGTTAAGATGCATAACCACAACATCTCCGGTTTGACCTTTTGTGCACGTCATACCTGTCTCCCTTCCCCATTGTTTCCTGTCTGTTTCGATTTCTTATAATATAATTATATAGGTTACGGTTTGCCAATTTCAGTAGTTTATTGAAAGTCATGGAGCTCAATAAAAACATCCAGACTTGTTTTTTTTTAATGTTAACTATAAATAACTTTTTATTTGAGTGAGTATTGATGTCTAAGTTATTCAGGAAATGTATGTTGACTTTATGTTTAAAAAGAGGCTAAAAGACCAAATACAGCAGGTGTTTCTGAATGTGTGGCAACATCTGGATAAGAACTGACAGCTCTTTCCTTTTAAGTCCCTCTTCTAGATAGGCTTTGGCATAAACATGCAGTTAGATCATTGAGCCTTTGTTGCCACCTGCTGGCCATTCAAAAAATATATATATATATATATCCCGTTAACATAAATCAGATTATTTATCTGCAGAGAATGGACAGTGGTCATTTTGTTATAGTATTTTCTGCCCAGTCACCTTGGCATATCTGCCATACTGGAGACACTTGAATACATTAACTCTTTTTGTTTGTTTGTTTTAATACAAATAAACTTCAACACAGTATTGATTGCTGTTACATTCATAACATAATTGTAAATCATATAGATATATTTAGATTCTAGTCAGCCAAACTAAAACCTAATTCAAATTTACTACTGAAATTGATGGTATGTTGTGAACGTAACATTTAATGTGTTGTTCATCAGGCTCCAGCCTATGTGACACTCAATCCCGCTGATTTGTATGTTCCCCTGTGCACTCTTCTTTAAATGTATCCATGCTTTGCCTTCGAGAGCAGAGGAATAACTGATGCCTGTGGACACTGGGGTGAGAGGACACATTTGGATTACGACAGGCAGTGGTTCCAGCCACAATGTTTGGTTGCAAGCTAAAGACCTCCAGGGTAGGAAGGGGACCCCGGAGTGAAGGAAAGCCCCGGTTAGGAGTCCTGTGTTGTAGCTCAAAAGTTCTGTGGGGAAAGAAGGATCTGGAGATGTGTGATCCGTGACCTGGGTTGGCCTGAGATTTGCAATCTGACATGCTGTGAGGAAGGCTGAGGGAAAAGGAAAGGCTCCGTGGGACTAGAGTTGCCCCGTTGGCACCAAGACTCAAACCCAAACGTTGCGCTTTCCTCTGAGGTTCAGCGTGTACCACCAAAGGCTGTTCACATGCCAGACTGCAACAGGACCTGCGGACACAGGAGGTATTCTGGACATCTGCTCTCTCCTCAGGTTCCCTCTTAGAAGATGTTGATGTCAACTGTCTCTTTTTCTCTCCAGCAGCTCGGTTCTCCTTGCCTGAGTGGCGAAAAGCGGAGACTGCGTAGGACCTCTGACCTGATGGTTTACGTGTCGTTTCAACCTTTTCTGACGACTGGTCCAGTGGGAACTGCATGAAGAGAGTTGGGTTAGAAACAGTTTGTCTATGAAGTAGATGTCTGGATCGCCTTATGGGGGCTCCTTCCACCAGCAGGTTCACTCCCACATACGGAGGAACTTCAACTGCAGCCTGGGAGGGTGAAAAAAGTAAGACACAAATAAATGCTTTTAGTGTAACCTCTATTATTCAGAGTAATTCTCCTGGAAATGAACACCTATTGTCTCTAGGCATGATGTGTAAATATATTTCAACCTGTTTAAAGATTAGCTGAAAGCCTCCTGTGTAAGCACTAGGATCAGTCCGTCTGTCCAGCACAACCCTCAGTGTGTCCAGCTGCACAGCAGGGCAGAGGCGAGCGGTCACAGCTGTGGAGCAGGCCATAGTCGGACTAGCGTTGATCTCCAGAAGCCAAGGCTTCAGATCTCTGCCCAACATAAAGTCGGCTCCGTAGAGCTCAAAGCTCGCCTTGCGGGGCTCCACCAGGTCTTGGGCTGTCTGCAGGGCATGGACCACTGCTTGTTGCATGCCCGTGACCACCACTGAGTCCCACTCTGCCCCACGGCCCTGCCGCTGCAGAAAAGCCCTAAACTGAGAGCAGGACCACATATTGTCCTCAGGCACTCCTGGATGGCGCTCACAGGACGGCTGAAAGTGCTTCTGGATGGAGTTGTTGCACAGGTGGACTGAGCTGAGGAAAATAACGAAGGAGGTTAGGCCATGGAGGTAAGTGTTTTGAATGAAATGAGTACATTTAGTCTACTTGAAGTGTTTAATCAATCCCTCCCCAAATTATTCTAGATGCAAGATATAGGAAAGTTCAAGTGCAAGTAAATCATTTATTTTTCTCTTTTGTCTGACCCACTGTCTGACCTGTCCAGAGTTTTTGTTGAGTATGGTTGAGTGGAGAATCGCAGGTAGCACTCTCTGTAGAACCAGACAGTCAGAGGGTTCCAGTCGGTGACGAGGAACCACTGACGGAGGTCAAACTTGGTGCCATGGACCAACAGAGGACGTTCAAGGTATTTCTGAACCACCCACTTACTCTCTTTAGTCAGGGCTCTGTCACCATCCACAAGTGCCAAAATCTCCTCCAGGCGATTTATACACATAATACCTGGGTGGTTGAGGTGACATGGAAAAGGAGAAAGGAACCACAATTGGCTTAAACAAATCAAAACTGCATTAAACTAAGAGGACATGGTGTTTCTGACGACCTTCTCAACAAATAGCAGGCTAACTTTCCTTGGTCATACTGAGGCTACAAGAGAAATTGTAGGCATCATCATTTTAGTTTCCCCAATCAATTAAATGTAAAATAATTAAGCAATAGGTTCATGTTGCAATCATAATATTTACAACACAAATTGTTCTTTTCAATATTGTTTTCAGTATTGTGTCCAGAGAAAGTAAAAGAGTGATATACTGTATATGATGATCATGTCGCTATCATTTTTTAAACCTCACCTCGTCCTCTTGACTTGGCACCTGGTTTGATAATCCAGATGTTATTTAGTCCATCGGTATCCAGCTGAGGGCAAGCCTTCTGCAGTCTGATTAAAGTGGCCTGGCAGCGCTCCACAAACACACTGCTACCCCTGATCAGTGCACCTTCACTACACACAAACATTAGACTCACAGATTGAGTTTATTAATGTGCAGATTCACTAAATCTTACCATCATGCTTTACTCCAGAAAGTAATTATGCAATATACAGTGCATATACATACAACATATTCCCAGTGGAAAGAAATGACAAAATTTGACATTAAAAATACCAACCAATGACTATTAAAAACACTTAATTTCTGAGTGTTGCACATGGACATTATTGACCTGTGCAACACACAGAGAAATGTAATATAACGTAAGAAGTATCATTCTAGCAAACTCAGGAAGCTCCCAGAAAACATACTTACTGCACAACCATGTAGTAGTCTTGCAGAAACTCTGCCCAGTGCTGTTCCTCCACTGAGGGTGGTGTTTCTACAGAAACATCAATGTCGCCGTGCTCTAAAACATTGAGAAACTCTTGACACACGTGCAAAGCCATGTCGATCATTCCTGGACCAACAAAACGATGCTCCACATTATCCAAATCTGTAGAGAAAAACAAGATTGGTGTCATAGAATCATGGCCAGGTCACATCTGTTCTGGGCATGTTGTTCCTCACCCTCTGCTCCATCTCTCCTCCATCTACTTGTCTCAACCACATGCTGCAGCAGGCTGGTGCATGCTGTCTTCCTGAAATCCTCTTCATTGTCATAGAAAACAGAACGAGATCTCAAGAAAGAGAGAAAGGGCAAGTCGTTTTGTTGATTATGTATCATGAATAAAACTAAGACAGCTGTTGTGACTAGTCCACTTGTTACTTTGTGCATTATCTTTGCATCTTTGACAGCGCAAAACTGTGGATATGTGATATAGAGCCGTACAGCAGACCTATAAATGCCTGCTTTTCATCCTCTGCCCCAAGCCTGTAGCATCTTGGGAAGAAGGTATCAGGATCTGCTGTATCAAACCACTGAAGGTTACGCAGGTTCACACAGAGCCCCACCTGAAAGAAACCAACATACTGTATATACATACTGTAGGAGAAAGAGAGTACTAGCTGTACCTATGGCTAAAGTTTACGCTTGTATTTTTGCCAGTCAATCATTAAAAACTCTTAAGGGTTGAGACCTTGGTAGTAAATGTCCAAGAATTTGCATAGTGGTTGGTCATTTGGTCATTCCGTAAGGAGCGACAGTCTATGTAATCCCGACGTGTTGTCCAGTGGAAATAAGTTGTTTCATTTCGAACCAGGCGAGACTGAAAAAGGTTGGAGAAATTCAGTTGGGGCTGAGCTAGAATACACAGTGTGATGAAAAAAGACAAATGGAAATGAAGTAATGCAAGAAAAACAGTTAATAGCACATTTGATTGCTTCCGGACTGTGCAGGATGTCGGTGTCATGTTGGTTCACTTGATTGTTATCTTACCATGAGGTCATACATGTCATCAAGGTTCTCCCTTTTCTCGCCTTCATCCACTCGCTCTGGAAAGAGATAAGGAAAGAGTGTGCGTGCGTGCAGGCTTATATGTGTAGAGAGGGCTGTGTTGAGAGGGTAGTGTTCTTTGTTATAGGTTGGTGTCACACAATGTATCATGTTTCCTTTTAAACTAGTGCTCCAATTACACACATATATATATATACACGCTAGCCCCTCCTGCACTTTTAGCTCTGACTAAACGAAGTGTATTCCTGATCTTTTGCACAACATGTAACCGACAGAATATGATTGATTGACACTTTGTTGGTAATACTGTGTGCACTGTCTCACAATACACATCCAGTCTTGCTCCATTATCTCAATCCCTTATATACAGACATGTTTCCTTTGAGCCTGTAGTGAGATTTCAATCGCATTAGTTGCATGGACACTTCATCTTGTTTTTTCCATAAATGTCTAATTAGGTAGCTGTTAGGAATGTGGCCTCCATTGTCTCACCAGTAACATCAGCACTGACAGCACCATCATCATCACCACCATTCTCCTCCTCGTTGCCATGGCAATGAGTTGCTCTCTGGACAGGATGGGGCAAACGACGCTCCACCCACCCTCTGGCCCATAAGGCTGCACGGATCACAGGGTAGGGTCCCTGCACTGAAAACACTTTCCTCCGCTGAGAATGAGTGCAAGAGAGACAGTAAAAGGGTCACATGGAAATGCAGAGTTCTTACAGTGACATGTAGCTTGCAGATATAATCACCTTCACTGCTTTCGTCACCAGCGTTTTAGCCGCTTTTAGCCTGTCTGGTTTGATCGCCGGCAGGCTTGGCACACTGCGACGTAACCTCCCCTCCGCTGGAGCCACTGTGGATTGTAACACTGAGACGAACTGCGTGGTCAAATTTCAGTATGAAGTTACTGTGTGCACAACACATGTGCATGTATTTGAATAAGCAGATCTCTATTCACTTACCTGGCATTTGTTGCATGTTACTGATACATATTTCTCTCTTCAGCTGATCAGCGTACAGTGTTCTGTTCTGACAGACAGATAGTTCGACAAATGCAATATTCCCATTTACCTCTTCACTGTCGGACGTGGTGTCCTCTGCTGTTGAGGAATAAACAGAGAAAACATAACACAAACTATATGGTTTGTTGCACATACTTTGCCTCTGTAGCTACTGAAGAAGGATGTAAATTGGGTCAAGCAGGCATCTAAATCTGGAGAGAGCTGACTGAGGCTGTCATAGCTTCTCATTGACATACCCATTCGCACAAAGACGCGCGCGCGCACACACGGACCAACACGCAGTACATAAGGCATGCACGAGATTTAAAAAAAAAGAAGCATGAATAGGTTATGAAACACGTCAACAGTATAGTCTTAGGCTATATCCACGTTGAACGACCGTTGACTTACGGATCAGCTGTCAGACATAAAAGCTACGCCTAAAATACATCTAAAAACAAAGCAGCCGACATTTTACTTCGAGCATTATCATACAAACCTAAAGTTGTCAGTGACTCGTGCACTCTGCCCATAAACTCGCTCAGTCCTGCTTCCTTCACGCTCCCACAGACCGTTCCCATAACAACCGTGCATGCTCCCACTAGAATGTTTAAAGTTTCCACAACAACCGTACCCATGGAGAAACAGGACGCCGCCTGCAGGGTGAGGACAACTCTACCGCCTTTAAGCATGCGTTGAAGAACGTGGATCACTCAACAACTTCCAACACGTGTAGCGACACCTGCTGAGCTAAATCCAACCAAGTGTTTGATATTGCAGCAGTTTGACAGAACAGCCTCACATTGTTTTGACCAATATAGTTCATGCGGAGGCCAATGTGGAGGTTGCTTACTTTCACATGTTGTGCTTCCTTATCAATACAAGTGACAATCAGCAGCGGTTTAAGAAAAAAACGACCTGCCCTGCATCTTAAATAAACACATGTCATTCTGTCAAACACGTTTTACGCCATGTAGCCTACATGGATTATTACAAACATATATTTTTCTTAATGCTTTACCTTCCCACAAGATGGCATCCAAGGGTTTCTTGTTACGCGCTGTGTGTGTTACAAGATCAATAATGTCGCTGTTCTCTCTTTCATTTTATGTGCGCACAGCTCACTATGCATTTATTACTTTACTGAAGACTATATCTTAATTTAATTGACATAATATAATATAATATAATAATTAATAATAGTAACATAAACCTCTGGATTTTTTATATCATTATTCGATATACAGTTGAAGTTTATTTTGTAGCTAATGTTCCTCTTTACGCTTGTAAATGTTTGATTGCAGGACTGTTTGTAATGGAGTCATTTTTAATTGTGGTATTCCTATTCATGTAAAGGATCTAAGCACTTCTTCCGCAACGTCTTCTGTCCACCAAATAAAATAAATAGGACCTAAGTAAAGAAAATAAAAATAGGCCAAGTTGTGTCAGCATGGTTCTAATGATTGGGACAGCGTTGTGAATGCAGAGACGTGTTAGAAGCAACAACACTGTACACAATGATCATATCCAGCACATTTTAGGAGCTGAAATGTGAGAAGCTGCTAAACTGGACATTGTGTGTAGAGCAACGTACCTTTACAAGCGTATCATTGTCTTGGTTTTATTGTGTTGGGTAGCAGCAGCGCGTTGCAGCCCGTTGTGCGCCTCTGCGCTCTGATTGGCTGATGCTGCAGCGATGCTCTCTGCATCTTGCTCCCACAGCCACGACAGGAGGGAGGGGAGGTGGAAGCGCCGACGGGAGATCATCATAACACGGGGAGGGCAAAATTACGCTTTTCACCGATTTCCTCATCAGGAAGAGATGTTTAATCTCACCATGTCTGCGGAAACAGAAGCAACTGCTGTTGCCAACTCGTGACCGCTTCTTCAAAAGGTCCTAAAACAGCGCCGAGTGGCTGATCGCCCCTTGAGCAAGTCTCACCTGTATACTTCGTGAACACTGAGCAGGTTAACCCAAAAGCCATGAGCACGCCCGTCAACGACCCTGAGAGCATCCTGAGCTACCAGGTAAAGTGCCCTTTAAATGTGTAATGCATGGAGCGGTGCTTTGGCACAGACCTGCATGTACTCAAGCTCCAACAACTGTAGCCCTCAGTTTGAAATTCTTCAATAGAAATTCATAATTTGTCGTATTTCAGGAACTATTTATTGACAGAAATGGTCCCATCCGTTTTCTTTGCCCCTGTTGTATTTCCCCATGCATGTCATAGAATGCGGCAGTGTTTTAAATTGATCAGCTATTTGCACATTTTTTTTGTATAAGCGGACTATCGTTCTCCCTCGATACTAAGTTGTATTCGGTTTCTTACCCTGCAGAATGACGCTGTGTGCCGAGGATGTTGTTGATACTGATATTTTGGGACGCTAACACGTGCGGTAATGGTGAGCGTATGACATTGCGATGAACTGAGTTCTTTTTTTGGCTGTTCCTGAAGCACACATAAATGTGTTCCAGCCACGACGATTGCAGCAGAGTATTGATCAGATATCGATGTGTTGTAACCGCATTCAAATGTCAACTGCCCGTCCTGAAGTCGCTTGTGTGAGAGGAATAACAGGAACGGGTCAGTTTGATGGCTCTTTGCTTATTAAACAGCGTGCTATTTCCTAGTTACCCTCAAATGACCTTGACGCCATCCTTACACCGTGTACCACACTGATCAGCTTCTACTTTCCTACATGTGCGTTAATAGCCAATCCTGTCTGCAGGGGGAGGAAAGCCTGCAGTTAAATGAGGTTTTGAAGGTAAACATGGCATCATCCTTACTGTCTTGTTGATTTGTGATCCATTATCACATCCCGGGTCAGCTGAGGAGTTGGAGGGAAAAGAGAAAGCAGTGAACAAATGAACCAGCGAGCACACCTGGCTGTTGAAGCTGACACGCAGTAATGTTTGAAGCGTGATTGTAACATGCATGCAGTATCCCAGCGTCATGCCATTATGATGATATGTAATAACATCCGGTCTGGAGACAGGAGACAGATGGAAGAGGCCCAGAGGTGAGCTGGGAAGTCTCTTATATGATTAGACAGCTGTCTGGCAGGCAGGGGACATTTCCTGGGAAGCTCACTCTTCAAACATTAGGGTTATGCCAGTTAACTGTCACTACAGGAAACTTGTAAGTGTGTCCGTCCACTATTTCTGTGGCAGTCTGGTCAGTCAGCATGGACTGGGATCTTTGCCATTCTCTCCACCTGAAGCCAGTTGAAATGTTTGCCAAAAAGCCGCTGCTGAGGTGTCCCAAGTAGTGGGGAAGGTAATCCGTTTATTCGCTTGAGTAGAAGCAGCAATATGAAGATGTATAAATACTCAGCTTGTAAGTAAAAGTTCTGTGTTCAAAAATCCACTTCAGGTGCCAATGCAGAAGGACACCTATCCAGAGTGTTACATTCTTTATGTGTTGATTTATAAGCAGCACTTTGCAGCCGTAAAGTTGCTGGGGATACAGGTGGCCCTTAGCTGTCATAAGTACAGGACACCTTTATGGATTCTTTATTTATCGATTTATCATTTGCTCTATAAAATTTCAGTAATTACTGACAAACAGCCATCACAAAGTCCTCAAGCTGAAGGTGATCTCTTCAAATTCCTTGTTTTGTCTGACCAACTGTCCAAAATATATTGCTGTATTTCTAAAGAAGTACAGTTAAAAAGACTTATATCTGTGTCTCATCCCTTTGGTGAAATGGGACATTTTGAGCACAGAAAAATATTTTTGCAAGCAAAAAGATTATATTTTGTACAAAAATCTATTTTGAGCTCAACATGTTTGTTACAGTGTTTCCTTCATCCACATAAATGTTTATCATTGTGCACTTATGTGGTTATTACCAAACTTAATTTCTCTTATGTGCTTGAATTACATTTTTTTCTGTGCTCAAAATGTGCCATCACACGTTGTAATGTAACTCCATAAAGTACCAGTACCTCTGCTTTGCTCTTAGGTTGTTAAGTAAATACTGTAATTAGTTTTCACCTCCGGTGTTAAGATCTAGATCTGCAGTATAGGGTTGCATGAGCAAGTCCAACATGCAGTGCCGTAAAGGTACTTGTGACGGGCCCTGGTGCAAGTTAGTATGACAGACCCCGGTGCCCACTAGATACTAGTTATGAAGCACACACTGTTGGCAGGCAACTGTTTATAACGAAGCAAAGGAATCTAAATTAGGCCTGCTTACCTTCTCCTCAAGTTATTTTCTCTCTTTTCTCTCCTTACTGGCTCTTTTATGTTTGAAAAGCATGACTGCTAGTTTGGCATGATGCTGCGCTCACCTTGTCTCTACAGGTTAGACTAGCCACCATATATTGTATCGTCACATGATTGAATGCAGACTTGATATTGGACAACATCAACATACATATTACCCAGCAATCATCATTTCAGTGTTTATGACAAAAATACCAAAGACATGAAAAAAAATTTAATTGAATAGCTTTTTGTAATTCATTTATAGTAGATTAAGCAGGTCATTTTGTTATAGATTGCTACTATTCTACCCTCGAAAAAATTAAAACCATGACAGTCGGTTTGCTTCTAATTATTACAAAACATGTATTCCTCATTACTTAGTACATAGTACGTGTTATTAAAGAATAGCAAATCTAAGTAAAGAAAACAAACCCCAAGAGAGCTAATGTTTATGCAAATACGTCTAATGCCAAACTGCTGCTTCTTAACTGAAGGTGACAGTCAATGTTACACTTTGGATGTAATCATTCAGGAACTGTTGGACACTGTTCACTGAATGACTGACACCCCTCACAATGTGATAATCTGACTCGCACTGTATTTTCTCAAGTACAGGTACACAGTTACATTCAGGACAGCCTCTTGATTTTCAGTTTGAATTGAGCACGTTACAGTCCCATTGATGCCAAATGTATACATGCACCACAGAGGAGCACTGTATTGATAGGAGACAACTTCTTCAGTTACACCACTGATTCTTACACTGATTTTTATAACCATACGGAGATGGTTGTAAATCAAAGAGTAATGCAAACAACAAAACCAGGCACAGAGACACAATCACCATACATACCATACAATGCTATGACTATGCTGTACTATACTGAGCCAAATATGAAGAGCACAAAATCAAAGATGTGAGGGAAAATACTACAGTTTTTCATGGTGTCACTATCAGCCCCGATACTATAAGACAGTGACTCTCTTTCCAGTTTTGTAATAATTTATGACACTTCACATCATAAATTTGAGGCCCCCCCCCTACACGAGACTGTTTACTTTTTCCAATCATTTTACAGTAGCTTTCATTTTAATCAGTTTGGAGTCCTTTTTGGGGGTTAATCCATATTCACCTATCTGCTGAATAATTGTGTATTTTAAAGAGCAATACTGTATTGTACTGTTTTTTTACAAAGAGTCCTTCTAATGTAATCAGTCTGAGAAAGTCGCAATTTAATCTTTTAAAGTGCTCAATACTCCACATGATGTTTGAAACTGTTATAGTAATGCGACATGTGACCAAAGCCACCATTTAATGAGATTTGTTTAGTTTGCTTCGAGTAAAGATCCAGAGAGGTTTAATATGAGTTAACAAAAGTCTTCAAACAGTGTAGGTCCAGTTGCATTTCACACAAGTGTTTTAGGTATCATATGACCAGAGAATCATCCAGACACATGCAGTTAAGAGAGTTTTTGTTTTTGATTGAGAATATTCTTAAACAATTTATGGTCTCAATTTGATAACATACTTTGCAAAGTGTAACTCCAAAATCGGTTAAAATTATACTGTACCGTCGTTCACCCACTAAACTAACTAAGGCTGCAGTAATCTGTCTGTAAAGAAAACAATTAGAGAGCGAGGGCTGTGGAGAGAAAGAATTGTATGTGTGGCAAAAAAAAGGTGCGAATGACTCATGCTACCCGTGGGCTGAAGCAGTCAAAACAACCACCCCTTTCATCCTATCTCCTGCAGCTCTCTCCTCTCCTAGTTCACTTATTCACCAGTACCTCTTCCTTTCATCCATTCATGTTAACCCCTCCTCTGAGTGAAGCACCGTCACATGTGTCTCTACAGCAGATTAGTGATGGTGCAATGAAGGGGCAGCGGTAGCCTGCTGCTTTGGCGGCGAGCGTCAACAATGCCTCTCAGACACGAAGCCGTCTGGTCTGGAAGTGACAGGCCCAGTTGTCTGAGTCAGGATCTGTGTCCCTGTTGTCAGTTCAGGTGCTTCTGGGAAGGGAGGAGCGAGGGGTCAGCATCCAAAAAGGTTCCATGGACTGAAACAGAAACAAATGTTCAACAAGTGCTTTGTTAGAATGAAAGATATCATCGTAGCAGTTGAGAGACATCTCAACTGCGACAGACATCTCGAATGACTCGGAAGCCCACAGCGGGCTGCTGAATCATGATGCACTTTTATTTATCTAAGGTACCATTCACTGTCTTGCAACGCTCACTGCTCATAGTTATTACATTCATACAGAGTGAAAGATATCCCTTAATGAACTTGCTCTGACAACAATACTATGTGCTCACACAAAAATAATTCCTGCTTCTTTCTTAGCCAAACTACACGGTGTCTGTCATGTGTGTTGTCCCTCTGAATTCCAAACGTCTCCATATCAGCCCTCTGAAGCTCCTCTCACAGCTCCCTCACAGTCCTGATAGAGTGAAAGGACATTTTATCGCAGCACATTGATTGCCCCTCTTAGTCCGGAGACTGGGATGCAAATCATTGCTGCTCTATTTGTTCAGGGCGATGACCAGTTCAATCGGTTTCACTGTAATGCACTTTGACATTACTTTCTGATTTTGCCCAACTTGTTTTATCTCTGAAGAATTTTGAACTGAAAGAATTACAGAAGAGCTTTAACTGCTCACTGACAACAACACCTGGATTGGTTTACTGGGCAGCAAAGTCTCCTAGGAAAAAAATGTTTTGGTCATACAGCAGTAGTCTGAGAATGTATGAGGATTTCTCTTCTTTACATGCTGTAGGTGATTCTCAACTTGCAGTTTACATATCACACCAAGGA